TTTGTCAATAACTAAATCGTATTTTAAGCTAATGATTAAGCAAAGCAACTTTGAATCCTAATTGACGGGAATGCTCTGTTGTTACCCCATTCTTAAGTTCGAATTTAATAAATAATGAATGAAAACTCTCTTAATAAATAGAACTCCCGTTTTGTTTGGTCTGACGAACTCTCTTAATAAATAGAACTCCCATTTTGTTTAGTCTGACGAATCTAAATATCAGATATTTGGCTTAGACAGAAAGAAATACTGTTAAAAAAGGGATGGTGAACCATTAAGTGATCGATTAGTAAAGTATACCATCAAGTTTGGGGGAGAAAGTGTGTTCGTATGTATCTTTACCAAATTCTCGCTATATTAACTATTTGTAGTTAAATTAATTAGTAAGACAACACATTGACATATCACAATTTTCGTTGCATAATTACATATTTATATACACATATGTTATAAAAAAAACCATGAAATTAAATAAACATAACCGTGCTGTAATAATGTTGTAATCGCTACTATGAAATTTATAAATAAAATAATACTTTTATTTATAGCTTAACATGATCGATTTATCTAGTATGTTCATCTATAATCTATCACTCATTTTAATTATTCGACGCATGCATTTTTTTATAATTTGTTATATAACGATATAATTATTCTTGAAGAAAAAGCAAAATAAATTCTTTTGTCATATGGAACTTACGTGATAAACGCGTCATTAGTAAATAAAAAGACTTATGACTGCCAAGCACACTTGATACTATATGACTTACTATACTATATTATATCTCAACCTTGAGGAGTATTTTTATCGTTTTTCTGTTTTCATTAAGGAACTGCAAGTAAGAAACATTTTCCGGAAATGTCTTTTGCACATAATACCATTAATACTTCCACGCAATTGATTAAAGGAGGATAACTAAGATTACCAAAAGATCCGAGAAATATATCATCAGCCACAACTATTTACTTGACTGGAGCAGCAGTATTGGGTAAGAAGAATAATTTGACCTTGGTAGTGGCAATGCTTGCTTTTTTTGCGAGAGATAGAAAGTTTGGTAACAGGCGATAGAAAAGTAATTATGTTCCATTATTCTTTAATCGAAGAGCGAATCTTGATGAGTAGATCCTAAGTGAAACCTTTGTCCCATCATTAGCGACCCACTATCCTTTCTGCCCTTCATACTTATTATAGGGATTTAACTTATGAATCACGTCAAGCTTGAGTATAAAGATTTAGGTAGGTACAATACCTTCAAATAATTAGCGAATCAGTTATTTTTCTCCATTGAACTCTGCAACTAAATACAATGTTTAATATTTTATTGCTAGATGATGGTTGTAAGTAGTACCAGCTGTACCAAATTCTGGATCGTCTTACTTAGTCGTTAGAATTTTCTCAGCCGTCACTCTGGCTCCATCATATAGTAACACTAATAATTTTATTTGATTGATGTGATTGGCGGGAGAAATTTGAATTCTGGAAATCTAGTATTGAGATTCTCCAAAGATTATAGAGCAAATGACGTAAATTTAGAATATTTATATAACTAACTTTCAACTCCAAACAACCCAAAATCAAAGTTATTTTTTTAGAGCTAGAACACTAAATCTCTCCAAAATGACCGAATTAGGGTGTTTTGCATTTTGCTATTACTTCATGTTACGGATCTTATGATTTTCAAATGTATAGTATGTTCATAAAGTTATTAATAGCAAATGTCTCATATTTTTAATCATATTAAAGTTTGTTGGAACTATCCATAAAGATAGTTATAGGGTAATGTTACTTTATAAGTAGAATGAGAAGTTCTGAGATGAGAAGTTGGGAACCAAGCTTTTCATGCAAGTATATTATGTGTACTGTATTCTCACTTCGCATTCCCGTTCCATTGTACGAAGATTTAATACTTTGGAAAGCTCAAAGAAATAGATGTAGATACACATATAAACCTTCGTATTTGTTAAAAAGGCTTACAGTAATGTAGACATTACTAAGCTAACTTGCAGATATCATAAGTAAGAGATATAATATTCTTTTTGTTTTTTTATTGTTGCTTTGGTGCAATTAAATTTGTTATTAAGTCCTTGATTTTGAGTGTACGTATTTCCTGACGAAAAATGAAGTGTGAAGAGATTGATATACACATATTTCAATGTTAGTCTATCTTTAAGTATACACCCTTTTCTATCATTCGTAAGCTAACAGATTTCAGTACTACCACAAAAATACGAAATCATTTGAACATATATCCTGGGTGACAATTTCAATCCATGGGTTAACAGTGGTTGATTGGTAAATGGAATGATACATTTAGTGATTTATTTTGTTACTTAGCTCCTGCAATAGGGTTATGTATTAATTTAATCTTGTGCAGGTTACGACTTTGTTTATGTTATAATCCTTTTATTGCATCAATGTTTGAAGAATAGCGTTTCTGATATTGCATACAGATAAAAAATTTGTAATGGTATAATCAATTATTTATTTTTTATTTTTTATTTTTTTTAAAAAAAACTTTAGAGATGAGAAGGTCGGAAATGAATTACCAGTATAGAAAGGATGTGACGAATATTGGAACGTTCTATATTCATGAAGAAATCTAGGCTTAGCTTGAAAAAAATAATTGTGGTATGTCTGTTCAAAAGTTTTTTTTTTTGGTTAAAAACTGGATGATCACTCAAGATGGTCCTGGATGATCTTCGAGGTCGAATCATCTTTCGCTAATAATTTCATGTGAATTATTTGTTTATATAAATTTCTTTTTAAATATCATATTTTTGAAGTATCTTCAAATAAATTGTCCAAGTTTTTTGATGACATACTGAATCGCGAAAGAAAAATTTTAATAAGGTTGGTTTATTTTATAAAAATAATATATGTTAAATTAAAAAATTGCAGAAGCAAATATCAAATAATTTTTTTTAATTGCTATTTAAACAGTATAATACCTATAGAGATTATAGCAATTTTTATAAAATATTGAAAAGATATTTCTGAAATGTTTGTTATTTATTATATATATTATTAGTGAAATTTAATGCATAGATGAATTCATAATTCGATCCTGAATGATCACAAAAGATAATCCGGGGTAGAAATGCGAAAATATGTATTCCTTCCCCGGATCCTGAGGGATCATCCGGGGTTTTAACAAAAAATAATCTGGGCTGAATCCCGGACTTTTGAATAGAATAGCTTGCGGTGTAGTCTGTTTGCATAACGATATTCCTGCTTAGCCATACCGTATTCGATCGCCGGATTGACACAGTTTCGTTTCGAGAAAGAATATAGTCGTTATGACTATTATATCATATGAGAAATTCTAACTTTTCGATTCAGAGATTAGATCCTTTAACCGTTACACTTCGTATCTGGAAAGATAAAGTTTTTTTTTTAGAATGCAAATGGTATGATTATTCTAGGAATTTTATATAATTATCGGAAATGAATAGCTAGCTGAGAACACAACTGATTTTATAGAATCCCTTAACTTCGATCATAGCAACGTCACTTCAATACAATGAATTGAGTGAGATATTCGAATTTATCATATATTATTACTTATTAAAAAGAGGTTCCGTCACACAGAATGATTGTTATTGAACATGCCTCGAATAGATAGATTATGTGCTTTTCATATCAAAATTTGTAGCGCCGTATCGTTCTTTTTATATAAAACTTTTTTTGTAAAATTTCATCAATTCGTTTCGTTTGTTGGAAAAAAAACAAAAATCACGTTTTACGACCGATATAATATATGCAAAGTAAATGCGATTGATTATATATCATTGAACCACCAGGGGTCATTTTATTGAAAACTAATTCTAATGTTAAAATATAAATACATCATAAAAATAAAAATTAAAAATAAAAAAAATAGTAAAACAGTCCTTCTAATGCGTGATTTTCGCCAACGACCAGCGGCAGCTACTCTTCGCTCACGAACCAAAAACCCTCGAGTCGTCAAAATAATATCAAAGGGTGACGTCCTTGCTGTCTCCCTAGTCCCGACCGTAAATCGGGCGCCACGATCGCTGATCGTACCTGGCGGTTGTCGGACGAGCACCCCATCACTATCACGGGAACTATAATCATACAAAAAATTGATAAATTGATACTCAAACTAAATAAATATAAGTCGATTAATTCATACATATATTGCTTCTCCAATTTTTGCTTTGTATAACAAAGCTCGTTCCATCAACGACTACATTAACGTCTATTCCCCGTCGTTGGAACCTCTGTATTAAAAATAAAGAATAAAAATCGAAATATATTAAGCATATGTGTCATAATAATAAAAATCAAGTGGCGCGTTCACAGTCACGGGTTCGCGTTTCCCACTCACGATGAATCCCTCAGGCGAGTAAGCCAGTGCAGGGATATCAGAACACTTACAGCCGAAACTGTGGCCACTCCATTTTGCAAAGGTACTCACCTTGTCCAATCTGGTTCATTTACTGCATCTAATAATTCTTCAACGATGTTTCGTCTGCCTATTTCGTAAGTATTCATGTTTTAGGTGAGGTTTGGAAATTTTGTTGAAGGAAATAGTCGAGTAGAGTAGTTTGAAGAAACTAGATTTCAGATTTCCCTTTAATTTTCTAATATACTTATAAAAGTTTTATAACAAAAAATTAGAGAGAGAGAGTGTGTGTGTGTGTGTGTGTTTGTTGTATTGAAATTATAGAGATCCCTTTAGTTTTATAATGATTAGTATATATTCATTATTACGTAGTAAACGTGTCGCAATACTTTTTGAGACTATAACCAACAATTATGTTTACCATTTTTGCCAATTTCCCACATGCGAAAACTTGTGATTGAATAAATAAAATGTAACCAATAATGTCTAATAATAAAAATCGATCGGTCTGCAAAACTGAAAGTTTCTGCAGCTCAATACAGGGCTAGGCTAATGTCATGCTACTGTATGCGAATAACATATATACGAAATGATTAAGTCACGAGTAAAACTTTTATCTTTTATGTCAAGTTTATAGACATATAATCATACAAAAGAAATTTAATTTAATACGTTATAATTAAGACTTTATAAAAATAATAATTATATATTTAAATAAAATATTATTTCTAGTTATGCATTATTTAAAACTGATTATTTTATGTAATACAAAAATCAAAAAGTTTATTTAATTATAGTCTATATAAATAGAAGTTTATTGTCCAAAGCAAAGCGGAGGACGTTTTACGTTCGACTCCAAAGTATGCAAGCTCGGGCACGTGGTTATATAAATAATCATCACCCCGCGTCACACCCTCTATTTTTTATTCTCTACTATGTTATTTGGGAGCAGTCTCATATTGTCACCTCCATTGATTAAGTTAAGGTCTGCTATTAGCTGCAAGTCACATGCCCGAGCTTTTTGTCGGCAATGGTGTAAATGTCACGTGATATACTTGTTACTCGCCCTTTCCTGGGAAGAAAAAAAAGGAATTTGCTCACGATTACAAATCCTTATTTACCTTGCATGAGCTATTATTGTTCATAAGAGGCTGCGATTAACATCGGAAAATCTTGGGAATGCTGCTGGCCTATCTTTTGAGACATTTCACGGGTTCGTACTTTAATAAAATTCTTTTTAACCGTTTTAATTCGAAAGATTACAACGTATCAAATATTGTGCTATGATTACTTAGATTATGTAATTCAATACTTTATTGTTCAAAATTTTATATTAATTTATTGCGCGAATTATTTACTATATAATTATTGCACGATTATTTTGCGATATTATTATTGTGCGATTATTTTGCTATATAACCCATAATTATCAGCACACAAGAATTGAGGTACTGTGACGCTTCGTTTCCTAGTTTAATCATATTCTTATAAAACACATAATTATGCCTCAATTTCGTTCAATAAATTATTTAACATACATTCTTTAATTTTTCTCAAGAATTATAAAAATTGCACAAAATAATATTTCAATTAATGTCATCTTTTTCTTGCATTGCAACATGATGGGAAACATGGGTAAATATGTATAAAATTTCCAATAATTTTTGTTGATTTTATTTTAAATTTATAGAATATAACTGTTAATCAAGAAAGTTACAGAGGAATTCACTACTACCAATCAAGATTTATTAAATACTGGTATAATTTCCGCTATTATCATTTATATGTTCAATACTCAAATTTTAGGTATAGAATTTAGTTTTAATCTACATGGGAAAAGCACAGTGTATAAACGGGAAAATCATGGATTTAAATACCGGAATAAATTTTTTACAAGGTGGGTTGTGTTATTATAAGTTGATTCCAGCTTTTATGATGATTCTGATTCCAATTGTCACTAAAACCTTGTTTCTCGACTATCTTGAAAATCGCCAGCATCATTTCTGTTTATAAATGAAGAATGAGCTTAAAAAAAGATATAAATTTAACTATTAGTATAATATAATATTGAAGCTCAAAATAGTATGCTAGGCTAGCAGTTTACGGTTCACCAATGAAAATTGACTTTCTAAGGAAAAAAATATATTTTTTTTCCGAAAACAAAGTAAGATTAAGTAAAATAGTAGCAGAAACTCATCAATGTAGCAAAGTAAGAATGCATATCAGTGACGCTTTTGCATAATGGGATTAGGATATTTTTTTCATTTTATTTTTTTTATGATACTTCTTTTTTTAGATTGATTTTTCACCTAGTGGTTGTAAGATAGATTTGTTTTTTATTATTGTTATATGTATTTCGTTTGATTATTAAAATTTTCTTTTTTCAGCTTGTGTTACTTTTAGTAAGTTATTTTTGTTAATTATTAATTTTCTCTTTTTTTTAAATCAATTTTTCGCCTGGTGCTTTTCGCTTCAGGTCGATTAAGATAAGTTGGATTATGTTTTTTATTATTTTTGTTTATGTTTCGTTTGATTATTAAAATTTTCTTTTTTAGCTTTTTCATTTTAGATCGCTTTGGGTAAGTAGATTTCAGTATTGTTTTGTTTCATTTTTATTGTTAATTTTTTAGATCAGAGTTTTGCCTAGTGATATTTCGCTTCAGTAAGTAGATTTATTTATTTATTTGATTTTTGATTTGTTATTTTCTTTTTTTAGACTTTTTAGGCAGTTTTTTTGCTTCTGACTGACTACATTTTTTGATTTTTTCATTCTCATTACATTTTTTTCATATGATTAATTACTAATGCTTATTTTTGTCTTCTTTTTTTAGATCTTTGGCAGTTTTAACTTCTGGCCGCTTTCGGTAGGTAGATTTTTCATTTTTATTACGTTGTTGTCATTAATATAGATTATTAATTTATTTTTGTTTTTATTTTCTAGATTTTGAAGCAGTTTGTTTTACCTTCTGGTAATTAGATTTATTTATTTATTTATTTATTAATATTTCGTTTTTATTTTATTTGATTTTCTTTTTATGATTAGATCTTTTGCTTGGAAGCCACTTTGGATAAATGGATTTTTGTTTTTTAAGTCTTTGGATGGGTTTTTTTTAGATCTTTCGCTTGATAGTCGCTTCAAATAATTAAATTATTATTTTTTTTTTGTTGTTTTAGACCTTTCACTTAGGGTCACTTCGGATAAGTGGATTGCTATTTTTTTTTATTTTCTTTTATTGGTTGTTAATATTTTTTGTCTTTGGGAGGGTTTTCACTTTAGTAAGTGAAGATTTTGGTTTTTTTTATTTTGATTTTTTTTAGGTCTTTGGGTAAGTTTTTACTTCGACATTTTTTCGGTAAATAGGTTTTATTCTTTTGTTTATATTGATTATTAATTTCTTTGTTTTTTAGATCTTTGGGTGGGTTTTCAGTTCAGGTTTTTTCAGACAAGTGAATTTTTTTATTTTGTTTTTTCTATTGAATTATTTGTTTTTTAGATCATTGGGCAATTTTTTTTTAGTCATTTTCAGTAAATAGGATTGTTGATTATTTCTTTTTTTAAATCTCTGGTTTTTCAGTTTATACCTTGGGCAATTCTCAGTAAGGTTTGTTATAATATTTTTTTTAATTTATTACATTTATTAAATAGTGTTAATATTAATTTTTTAGTTAGATAACAGCGAATTTTCAATTGATTTTATTTATGGTAAGTTTAATTTATTCAAATTCTTTTTTAGATCTCTTTATTTTTTCAACTTAAAAATACTTATGATATTTATTTTCAGCTGAATATTGTTATTTTTGGTTATTTATTCTTTGCTTATAAAGCAAATAAATGATAATTGTTAATTGATGCTAAATTATTATAACTAGAGTCTAAAAATACAATTCTATTCTATATATATATATACAATTTGCAGTAAGATAAAACTGTAATTTTGATTTAAATTTTTTTTTTAACAATTTTTTATAGTCATTATTCAGTGAGATAAAACTGATCTTTTATTTATATTTTCTTTTAATACAATTTACAGTGTAATTTGTATTTAAATTCTCTTACATTTTTGTTATTTTTTTTTGTTATTTTTTTAATAATTTAAAATATATATCATTATGACTATGAATTAATTGAAATTTAAAAATCCAAATCTTGTTTAGCTTTTATAAAAGCAAATTCCTTACCAATTTATTTATACTATTCTAATTAACAAAAAATGAAAATAATTTTATTTTATGAAAATGAAAAGTTAAATAAACTTTTAATTTCTGTTTTTATCACTTTTATCTTCATACTTACCTCTGACTCTACCTCTATATCTACTCTACCTTTACCTTTTCTAGATTTTTGAATAAAAATGATCAAAGATTAATCAAAAAAATATAATAAAAAGATTAAAGAATTTGATTTTAGTTTCATTATTTCTTTAAATATTAATAAAAATATAAAGGAATACAAAAGAAAATTAAAAAAATTAATTCTAACATTAATAAATATCTAATATAAAATTATTTTAAAATAAATAATACAAAAATTGTTTTATTTATTAATTAATAAATAATGAATTATATATATATAAATTGATTATAAAAAACTTTTTTAATGAAAATTTTTTTTTAGATCAAAGGAATCAATTATTTGAAAAACTTAATAATAAATTGAATTATTTTGCAAATACTTTTAAGAATATAATTAAAACAATTTTTTTTTACTAAGACCTTACAACATTCATATGCAATATTTGAAGATTGTATGATATTGCTAAAACATAATAATATATGTTACTAACCAAAAATGAAAAATGTTGTTATATAGAGAATTTATTTGTAAATACATATAACATCATTCAATTCATTCTGTAAAAATTAAAAAGAAAAGTAATATTTTGTTCAGTTATTTTAAAGTTAATAAGGAAATTAATATTATATTTAATATTAAACACAAACATTTTCAAAAGACATTATTTTTATTTAAAAAAATATTATTTCCATTAATTGTGAATTTGAAATCTTTGATTAAAAATTTAATTTAATTAAATTTTACAGAACTGTATAATAAATTTAATATTAAGGTATTAAAAAATATATTTATTTTTCAAAAGTTTGCTATAAATTTAAACATAACAGATAAGAATAATAAATTAAATTCAATAAGATAAAATGTTATTCTACTAATCCAAATATTATTGCAAATATGAATTTTATATAATTATGGTTATTGGAAAATTTAAGACAAAGAATTAGTTTTAAATGAAATTGGTATCATAATAGAAGTAAAGTGTGGATTTATAATTTTGATAAGATTTGCATTTTTATAATATTTTAATTTAAAGGTTTTAAAAAATAGATTTTATTAATTACTAATATTTTTAAATAAATTTTAATTGTTTAATTATACACTAATATTTTTTAAAAATATTTTTTTATATATATATCAATATTATATTTTTGATACAAACCTTTCATCTGAATTATCATTAAATTATTAAAATAATCCTGAAAATATGTTAATCATATCAAATTGCAAATTCTAGATTTATTTTCCTTTTTCTATTACTTCAATTTATTTATCTATTAGTTCTTGAATATTAAATACAAATTTTAAATCTTTAAATCAAATTCAATTTAAATATTTTAAATCAATTTTATTTGTATTGTATATGCAATTTGTAGATATTTAATATTTATATGAAATAAGTTATTCTAAATATTTTCTAATTTGAATATACGGGTTTCTCAAAATTGAATTAAATTAAATATTTAAGCAAGTTGTATTTGATTTGATTTTTCAAATCGAATGAATCAAATCAAATTCAACTCAAATATTTGATCGAATCAATTTAAATCAATTTGAATTTGATCGAATCAAATCAAATTGAATCAAATATTTGTCAAATCAAATCAAATCAAATATTTGATTGAATTGAATCAAATCAAATTGATCAAATTAAATCAAATAGAATATAAATTTTTTTTAATTTTTACAATGATTTATTAAAATAAAGTTATTCTAAAGTTTTAATTAAGAAAATTATTAATAATTACACTAAAAAATTTCAAAGATAGCTTTTACAAAGTAAGTTTAGTAACTAGTAAATTTTACTATTACACTTAGTAAAATATCTTCGCAGTTTCAGTTTACTAAGAAACTTAGTAATAATCATTATCGCAGTTTTAGTTTACTAAGAAATCTTAGTATTGACCGCTATCGCGACTTCAGTTTACTAAGAAAACTTAGTAATAACTGCTATTGCAGCTTCGGTTTTACTAAGAAAACTTAGTAATAATTACCATTATAGCTTCAGTTTTAATAAGAAACTTAGAAATAACCACTATTTTGGCTTCATAATAATTTTATTAGTAAAAAAACGTTTTCAAAGCTGCAGACACATTTTTTACCAGGCTTCTTAGTAAAAAACTTCACTGAAGCTATGGAGGCATTTTTACTATATTTTCTTAGTTAAATAGTATCTCCAAAGCTGTAGAGGTATTTTTTACTATGTTTTCTTAGTAAAATAACGTCTCCAAAGCTGCAGAAGCATTATTTACTATATTTTCTTAGTAAAATAATGTTTCTGAAGCCACAAAGGCATTTTTACTATGTTTTATTTAGTAAAAAAGGCATTTTCAAAGCCACAAAGGTATCTTTTACTATAGTTTTCTTAGTAAGAGCCACTTCTAAAGCTTTAGAAGTAGCTTTACTATTGATTTAAATCAAATCAAATATTTGAATACTTGATTTGAATTTGATTAAATCAAATCAAACATTAATTT